TACATCTGCATGGAGGCTTTTGCTGGCATAGCTATGCCATTTAGGGGTGTGAATTTTCACACTCCTAGCTGACATAGCTATGCAGGCAAAACTTAAGTGTACACCAGGCTTTGGAGAAGGCTTTGCCTCTCCTCTCCTACAGGACTATATGTGAGCTCTTGTTGAGTGCATAAAGACTGGTGTGTTTATCATCTCAGACATTGCTCTATGGATTCCTTCTCAACGTGAAGGTATTTGACTTTACTCACTGATCAAGAAGCTTATGAACATCTGTGCTCTGAATAACTGAAGTCATGTTGCTGGAATCAGTGTCTAAAGCAGTTTTTAAGCCTTGAGTACCCTGATATAATGATCAGCTGGTGAGCCACAAGGTGGCTCCATGGAACAATTCACATCTCTCTACTGCTATACTGACATGAATTGAAACTGCACAAAAGACAGCATGCTTGGTGTACTGTATCAGCATCAAAACCAAAGCTAACAGTGGAGAATTCTGGATTGTGTTTATAAAAGAGGAACAAAATATAGTGTATGGCAAAAGAGTCCAAACATTTTTTTTTAAATGGCATCTTCTGTCTACAGAAGAATTTTCTGAAAATTCCCATTGAGCACTAGAACAAAAAGACATTACTACTACAAAACAATAGAACTGAACTGATGCGAGATCATACAGAATCATAGTATAAGGTCCGGAGAGTGATCATCCTTTCTTTAGCAACAAACTCATGTGAATCCTCTTATTATCCCTGTTTTATTTTCTTACTATCTCATTTATTTTAGTGTTTTTTTTTAACTCAGACATGATTCTTCTCCAGCCAATAGTCCCACATCTAAGAAGCTGCCACCGCAATCTGAGTTGCTGTACCAGTTTCCACAGAAGAGCTTCTAAATTGGGTGTGGTTGTGGCTTCATAACACAGAAATCTTCTTCATAGGCAAAACATCAAAGAAACTTATAACCATAAGTAGCCTCTCTCTTTCCAAAACTGAAACTTGGCTAGCACAAATAGTTACATGGTTTAGAAAGAGAAAAATGAAAAAAACAATCATATCTATTGACCAAGGAATCCCAGAAGCTGGTGCACTCTATGGATTGATCACAGTAGGATGAAGAGGATTTTATTTAAATTTTCCCCTATCCATGGAAGATAATGAGAGCATAATTTTTATTGTAAAAAATTCTATTTTTTTTAAACATACAAACAGAGGATTCTAAGTAGTCATTATAACTAGAAGATGGGAAAAGTTTAGCAGAACCACATAACAAAAAATACTTCATATAGACATTTTGGCAGCCAGTCCTCTGTTTCTAGAATCTAAGTATTTTTCTGCTATGCAAAAGTCAATTGAGGTGAGGGGTATCCAAATACATCAGCTCCTTGTATTTTTTGGTTAAAAGATGTGGGTGACTGTTATACATTTACCTGGAGAAACCCAGATTCAACTCCTGCTTCAGGCCATATCTGGAAAGGAGTGATCTCCTGCCATTTGACCACATCACAAACGTTTCCCCATATCATTCCAGCAGACATTAAAAAATTTGTCTGAGAGGTCTAAGACAGAAATACCAAGATCACTGCAGGTCAGAAGCGAGGTGGATCATTAAGACTGAACAGAGCCTGTCCACACTGCCCCCTCACTTTCTCAAACACTCATAATTGAAATTTTTGTTCCAGCTCAGCGGAAGAGTTCTCAGAATCAAACCATCACCTGCTTCTAGTCACGCTCTCTCCTTCCAAGGAAGACGTGTATATTTTTGTAATTTTTTTGTTGTTGTTGTTAAACCTAACTTACTTACGGTTTCCTCTCAGTCTCCTTTATTTTTTTTAGCTGCATTGAGCACCTGGCAAAGAAAACACAAAGTCAAATAGCACGCTCTCTCCTTCTATATAACTTGGATCGTTCCAAGCTAAATTATGCCATAGTTTACTAAATACTGCAGTGTTTTAAGTTTAGTACATGTTGAAGAGGTTACCAGTTTCTTAACAGGTGAGCCAAAATATTTTTATTACCTGCATATACACTTGTGTTCAGCGTGGGATCGGTAACATATTGCAGTGATAGACCATAAACTCAAGATTCAGTAGACCTTGGTGAGGCCAAGAAAAATTTCTTGACAGCATGCCCCATTAGGCTGTAGAAGTTTCCCATGGGAAGTATTGGCAGTCCTATTGCTGTGGATGTTTAAAACTAAACTGTACACTAGTAAATGCACAATACAGAACAGTCCCATGCTGGCAGGGAAGTAGACTACATGGTCTAATAAATATTTTCCATTTCTCATTTCTAAGATTCAGTAGACACTAGGGCAGAGGTGGGCAAACTACGGCCCGCGGGCCACATTTGGCCCGTGGGACCATCCTGCCCAGCCCGAGCCCCCGGCCCCTCCCTTGTTGTCCCCTCTCCCCCACAGCCTCAGCTCACCGTGTCTGCAACACCCCCAACAGGGGGGAGGGGCTGCACTGTGGGGGCAGGAGAGCAGGAGGGCCGTGCGGGTGGCGGGAGCGCGGGGAACAAGGCCGGAGAACTCAAGAGGAGCACCGCGCGGCCGGCCGGCGAGAAGTGGCGCTTTGAAGGGGAAACCGCCGCTTCTCTCCGGCTGTGGGGCTGCCCCTGCGCCTCCTGAGCCCTTCGCCCATGTTCGCAGGGCCACATTCTGAAAGGGGCTGGCGGGGTGGGGGGGTGGGGGTGTTGGATAGGGGATGGTTAGGGGCAGGGGGTCCCAGGAGGGAGCGGTTGGATGGGGGTGAGGTCCCGGGGGCAATTAGGGGCAGGAGGTCCCAGGAGGGGGTTGTAAGGGGACTAGGAGCAGGGGGGTTGTATAGGGGGTGGGGTTCCAGGGTGGTGGTTAGGGGCGGGGGATGCTGGGAGACAAAGAGCAGGGGGGGTTGGATGGGTCGAGGGTTCTGAGGGGGGCAATCAGGGGGTGGGAAGTGGGAGGGAGTGGATGGGGGGCGGGGGGAAGCTGTTTGGGGAGGCACAGCCTTCCCTATCTGGCCCTCCATACCGTTTTGCAACCCCGATATGGCTCTCAGGCCAAAAAGTTTGCCCACCCCTGCACTAGGGAAATTGTGGAGGTGATCTGTCAGTTTACATGGGAGAGGGAAGAGATAGGAAAGATGCTGCCTATATTGAATAAGCAGCACCCTCTGCTGGTTGTTTAATATAAACAAACATTAGGCCTGAAGGCTTCTCTTTGTAGAGAAGAAAACAAGTGGAACCATGGTGGTAAAACTGGGGAAACCAGGAGTAGCTGGAGCAAGAGAGGAGGGAAGTTGATTAATTGGTGGGGAAACTCACATTCTTTCTCAGGCTTTGTGACATCTGTACCCAAGGATGTGCTCAACACACTCAGCATTTGAAATACATGCATGGCAAGGAGGACTCCCAGTTGTAGACAAGTGTACTTAAATGGTAATTTCCCTTCACAGAACCACAGGAACCAACTCTGTGGGTGCTTCGGGGCTGGCTCCCTAGCGGGCCCTGCCGCTCAGCTCCTCCCTCCCACCAACCACCCAGCATCTCTCACCCACCACCGATCAGCTGTTCAGTGGCAAGGATGGGGAGGAGCAGGGGCAGGAAGAGGCGGGGCGTGGGCGGGGCGCTTGGGGGAAGAAGGAGTTGGAGCAGGGGCGGGAAGATGCAGAGCAGAGTAGGGCCTTGGTGGAAGGGTGGAATGAAGGTGGGGCCTGGGGTGCAGCAGGCATCGAGCACCCCTGGGGAAATCAGAAAGTCAGCGCCTCCGCCTGTGCACAGACCTATAGGCTGGACTTAAAAACACCTATTGATCTCAGAGTCCTGAAAACTTTCTTTACAACACATACATTTCACAACTACCTTGCTGAAGACTGCGAAATTCTTTCACAATGTTTTTAATGGAGTTATACCCATATATCTTATGCAAATCAGACTTACAATATTCCTTTCCATGACACAGTGAGCTTGTGCATTAATTTTGAACTTGTAGCTTTTCTTTTGTCATAACACCTTGGACTCTGCATTTATCAATTTCAGTGGGCTAGAAGGAAGGGAGGAAAAAAACACTGCAGAAGTTTTTGAAGTATGCACATGTAATCTAATGCTTTGCAAATCTATAGGGAGTGTTGCAATTCTGTGCAGATTTCAAAAACAGCCATGCCTTCCCAAATGAAACCAAAACATGCCACACCTAGAGGAATGCTGTAATTTCGCCTCAACCTCGCAACAGGCTCTAGCTTACAGAAACTCTATGTGGAGAATGAGTATAATGAGGAATGTTGCTGACATGTACAGAAGGTGAAGAGGAGGGTGTAGATTTCATACATGATATACTGTCCTCCATTACTGTAACCCAAAATTAAAATGATGGGGCAGAGTCCTCACCAGCCCTGTTAAAAATACACAAAGAACAAACATATAATAATAATATAATAATTAATGTAGATATCCTATTTCCTAGAGCCGGAAGGGACCTCGAAAGGTCATCGAGTCCAGCCCCCTGCCTTCACTAGCAGGACCAAGTACTGATTTTGCCCCAGATCCCTAAGTGGCCCCCTCAAGGATTGAACTCACAACCCTGGGTTTAGCAGGCCAATGCTCAAACCACTGAGCTATCCTCCCCCCTGGAGGGATATTTAAAATATATTATTTTAAATAATGAATAGATGATAAATGTGTATCTACATGCATGCAATGGGGATGGGTGCACCAACACTGATAAACCAGAAGGATCTCCACACACAAAATTAAAATGATGGGACAGAGTCCTCACCAGCCCTGTGAGACAGCCTTGTTAAAAATACACAAAGAACAAACATATTATTTTAAATAATGAATAGATGATAAATGTGTATTTACATGCACACAATGGAGATGGGTGGACCAACCCTGATAAACCAGAAGGATCTCCACACCTACTCATTCACATATATACTCACTCCTTCTTCCATACTTTGACCTGAAATAACACTAGATTCTTTGTTGCAACTCTGAAATGTCTGAATAACCTTTTTCACACTACAGTTTCTTGTTGGGACTAGGACTGGGAGTGCAGATATAATGCCAGAAAAGTGGTCTGCCCTCAGTCTAGACTTGAGCGGACAAAGCAGACAATCTATACAACCTCTGAAGAGTCATGGGAGAACCTGCCGACCATCTGCCAAAAAAGTGAGACTAAGGACGGTAAGTGGTACTGATAGTGGAGGTGGAAGAGGTAGTAGTATTCTAAGTAAAGATGAGCATGGGACAATTCAAGGATATCCAAGCAGAATAGCAAGATGTTGCTGTCAAACCACAGGCAGATAAAAGAAACACCGGCCATACAGGTAAGGATGTGACAATTTTTAGGTTATTTAACCAATCATCAGTGGGATGATGCCACTCTGCACAAAGGAGAAACCAGTTGGGGATTTGCAATCTCTTTTCATTAGCACCACGAATGGATTCTTGTTTACATTTATAAAGACAGTTCATCATCCTATCAATGAATCATTTTAACTAATGAAATGGGTGGGTGGAAGAAAGTGAGTAGGGATCATATATTACAGAAATTACAACCTACACTGGTTTGTCTCACTAAATACTAAATTATTAAGAATAATGAGCTTCTCCCAAAAGAGAGTAACTTCCAAAACAAATTAGAGAGAGAGAAAAAATTGAAACAAATGAGTGCTTTAGAAAGTAGAAATTTCCTGAATTTCAAAAATTTGTTTCTTATACAACTAAAAACCCAGCATTGCTATTTCAACCAGTTTATTATAGCAATCCAATTATAGCTTGATAATAATTTTTAATGCTGCACTCCTTCTGTGGAAAATGCTCCACTTATACACAAAGAACATAAACTACTGGTTTAATGTCCATCTTGACCTCTTCCTTCATCTCTAGAGAGATCTGTACATGATTAGATTTTGGCCTTAAAAACCATCATGACAAGAAGTGTCTACAGAGATTAAATTTCCTCTTCAGATGTTCCTGGAAATGTCAATCAATCCCAACTCAAGAGCAATACCAAATAGCACCTGCACTATGGCCTTCTACATGACCTGCAACACCTGTTCAATGATCTAAAAATAACAGAACGCTGTGTAAAAGGACACTGATTGTAAGAATTAAGATGACTTTAGCTGTAAACACTAAGGGTACGTCTATACTTACCCGCTGGTTCGGCAGCCAGCAATCGATCTTCTGGGATCGATTTATTGTGTCTTGTCTAGACGCGATAAATCGATCCCGGAAGTGCTCGCCGTCGACATCGGTAATCCTGCTCTGCGAGAGGAGTAGGCGGAGTCGACGGGGGAGCCTGCTTGCCGCGTGTGGACCCGCGGTAAGTACTTTTAAGTTCGAACTAAGATACTTCGACTTTCAGCTACGTTATTCACGTAGCTGAAGTTGCTTATCTTAGTTCGAACTGGGGGCTTAGTGTGGACCAGGCCTAAGAAAACATGCATGCATGTTAGAACAGAATGAAAATTTTCTACTAGATCTAAGGCTAGTTCTCTTGGATAGCCCTCACTAAGAGGACTTTTTGGCTTCTCACACACAAACATTTCTACACTTTTTCACGTTGGTCACTTAGACCACTGATCATGCAATTGACAGCACATAGGTAAACTGCTGTGACCATACACTATCAATTGCCAGATCGGGGAGGAAGGTATCACACAGCCCTAGAAACCAGAAGATGTTTTGATGGCAAATGAATGGACTTCAGAAATTTGAATGTAGCACTTATGAATAAATGGTTTACAGACTGAGGAATACCAGCACCAAACCTTTTAAAAGATTTTGAATCTTTGGCAAGACACAGACTTTGCTTTTTACTGTATTCCCTGTGCTTGCAAAATGTAAGTTCTGATAGACATAGCAGGACTCTGCATTTATCATCCTTGTACTCTGGTGGCACCTTAAAGATTAACAGATTTATTTGGGCATAAGCTTTCGTGGGTAAAAACCTCATTTCGGTTTTTACCCACGAAAGCTTATGCCCA